CAACATGAAGGAGGCCAATTTTGAGTGTTACTGACTATTTGAGAAACATTGATAAATGTATAAGAGGGTACAAAATAATTTTAGAATGAATCAGTCCATTACGTTCCGAAGTTATAGTGTAAATGGTCAGCAAGATATTGCTCTATTGAGGTAAAAGGGGGTGGACAGGCCAGAACTGGGGATATAGTGGTTCGATTTTCTGGGTTTTAGCTGTCATGGGTAGTCCTATGTTAATGCTAAAGTGATGGGGAGCACGCCGGACACAAAAACATGATCGTGGCCTTGGTAGTGGTGCCATGTCTAGGGGAGGAGGAGAACATCTACCCTGGGGGTATTGCCATGGTTACTGTGTTTACCTGAGCGTGTAGAGATGCTGGAGACATGTTATTAGTCATAGACAAACCCAGAAACCCAATTGTTGGTTGCGTTAGCCACCTCATGTGGCGATCAAACCAAGCTTGCATATTTGAATGCCATTCTGGCCACTTCACCATTTGTGCCGTTTAGCCCAGTTGACAGCTACAACAAAGGATGACATCATCTTTAGGTGTTATACAGTAATAACCCAACTCAAGATGGCATAGAATGCAGCTCATCTCAATATACTTTAGTATAAGCAATCTCCTGAGAGAAAAGTTCAAACCCAATCAAACAGAATGGGAAACACACTGCATCTGCGAGTGTGAAACATGCTGTGAGTGCAAAATATGCCGCTGTGAACGCAAGATGTGCCTCTACCCACATTAACTCTCCTTTACCGCAGTGTCTTTTGTGCAGAGAATAATGTTTAATTACTTGTGCCATTCTCAACATATGTACTGAAGAGGATAGATGCGGACTCTACCCTACTTCTACAAGTTGTTTATGACTCTAGTTGTTTGAGTGGTTGAATGTTGCTGAAAAATGACTATACCTACACAGCATTAGATCAGTTAGGAGCACATGAAGCTCTATTGAGAGCTCTCACTGTGCCCCATAAGTGTGACAACTTTCACTATAAAATTCACTATGGACTGTGGCGACTTTTGATATGACAAGTGGCAGGTTTTGGTAAGGTTATAGCAAGAGTACCTGAAGCCCGCAGAGCAAATTGTAGTGGGCAGCCATAGCGAAAAATATAGCAAATCAGGACAGATCTGTAATGACTTTCGCTATAAGTTCGCTACGTCGTCAGCTACGACCGGGCTACGATTTGGGCCAATTTTCTGGGATTTTGTGGGCAGGTTTTATAGTGGCTCTTAGGCTCAAAAAGCATGAAAATTCGAATATTATATTGCATTCGAAAGAGACATGTACATGCAGGCCATGACACTTGAAACTCAATATACAAATGTAAGGGAGGTGCCATAAAAGTATTTACAGAGAAGGGGGGGCATAATGAGATCGTGCAGATAAGATGAAGTTGGTACAGGTGGCGATAACAGAAGAGAAAGTTGTACCAGCCTACGACTAACACTCTACGTGTACAAATCCAAACAGAAGTCAAGGGAGCGTAGAGGAAAGACACACCTTAACCATATTGTGCAATTCTGTGCCAGCAAGGCCTGGTGGCGGCTAGCCAAGTGACAGCAAGGTTAGCAACAACGGTGTAAACTACCAGGAATGCAATGATGCGCCTTGCATGAAAACTCATAGTCAAAGCAACAGTCAGTCGTTTAGTGTAGCGTCGAGAGCGGCGGGCGGTAATGTAGGCAGTCAAAGCCAGCGCGAGCTCGTCATAGACCATCAACTTGGTGTTCTGCTCCAAGCTGAGGTATAATGTGTGGCACAATCGTCCTGAGGGCCATAATGGTCAAGACAATGTGGTGTCTTGCTCGTTGTCTTGCCCTGCGCGACAGATGTTGTGGTTGGGGATAAAGACATTTGCGGTGCAATGGATTTTGGCGCAAGGATTGGATATGACGTGATGATATCATCGCGTCACAGTTTCCCGTTCGAGCGAGATTCAAAGGGTGATCACAGTCGTGTATTCCTTCCCTAAATCACCTCAAGCAAAGCCTACGTTTGTGTTCATAGTCAATGACGCGGAAATGAGGCTCCCGACGACACCTACGGCTTTTGCTTGTTAAGGCGTCAGGAGCGGTTTTCGTTTTTCCACTTGGCAAAAATCACCACAGATCCATTTCATAGTGTCTGAGGCTAATGATTTGTCTCTTCCTCTAACTGTAGCTCTTTGAAGGACTACTGAACTGGATTATTTGGTGAGTCAGGATCAGGTCTCTTCATGATGTATATCAGTAGCTTACATTGGTTCAGTTTTTAAACAAGTTCTTACTATCTAAGCGTGTTCGTAACTTCTGCTAGTATCTCTAATATGGCTATAATGCTGATGTTTACCATGCTGCGGCAGATTTGTATCACCATTCCTTCCCAAGAGACTGAGCTTCGGTGAAAGCCACAGGTTTGATATATCCACTCTATTGTGTATACTCAAACTCACTTTCACGACAGTCTATCTGATCCTCGTATTTGAGGTGTTCCAAACTGTCATTGTCACTGTTCAGACATAGGATATACTGTGTACCGGATGGTGACAATGTGAGGTCCTTCTCATGCTAGGATGGGAGTACTCCCTCCTTCACATTGTATCCAGAATTAGTAAGACATCTCACAGCTTAATTTCGATCCATATATTCTGTCTGATATCTCAATCTGAACAGTTTCATGCTGGGTACAATTGTTCTATGCCTATAGGATATATGTCCTCGGTGCCGCCGACTTCAGATGGAGATCAGTATCAATTGTGATTGTTCTTATGAGTTTATCAAGTTATGTATCTGAGTTGTCTCACATTCCTGACATGAGTTATAGGTCAGTGCGGCTCAGTGGGAAAACCTTAATTGTCCGCATCAACTCGCCGGCATTTGCCGGCATGCGTGCGGGCGACTTGCTTCCGAGAGTCCGTGCTCTTCCAACTTCTTCATTTTCTTCCCACTCGCTCTCTTGCGCCTCTCGTACACGCTATGTCCTTGCTCCCACGCTTCAGCACCACAGCCTCTCTTGAGGAGAACATGAGGCTTCGACTGACACACCTTGTAGGAGAACTTCCTGCTGTCAGTACACGCAGTGCTGAGGAGAAGATTGAGCTCGAGTTTGCCAATATCGCTGGTGCAGAAGCATGGGTACGTGAGCGGCAGATAGAGATGAAGTGGAATGTGGATCGCGGTCGAAATGTTGATCCAAATAAGGCCCGAAAGGCCAAAAAGGCTGGTATGTCCCTCCTCGTTCATTCTTTTTCTACCTTTCTTTGCCAATTCCTTCTGGTTATAAGCCAAGCCATATGATTCAACTGCACCTCAACGTGGGGGTGGTCCTAAGAAGAAGTATGAGTGGACGGAGAGGTATCAGTGTGGACACGCAGATACATTTTGTGATGAACGTGATAAGGAAGTGAGTCCGCGGAAGCGCCGTCCCGATCAGCGTCATGAAAGTGTCAAGAGTGGCTGCAAGGCCCATTTCTTTCTTCGGAAGGTTATTGACGGGGATGTAGTCAAAGTGGAGTGTCAGCCAGATCATAATGGTCATAGTGCTGGTACAGTTGGTGATATGGCACGGTCAATGGTGACGGTTTCTGTCAAACAATGGATTGAAGAGAGGGTTGGTAGCGGGACGAACTGGAGCGGTATCAAGAAGCTCCTTCGTCTTGATGCAGTAAGTCAGTCTCATCTGACTTTAAAGACCATATCCCGATAGTGTGTTTCCGTAGCTCGACAATGGCAGCTGTGCCAATATTCCAGAATCCCTTTCTGTTCTTCACCAAGATGTGTATAATGCACTTCGGTGTCGGATGCAGCGGACCGCACAGCTTAGCCCTGATGGTGATCAGAGCCTTCAAATGTGGAAGTCTCGCTTAGAGGCCCGTGGTTATGCGGTTATCTACCAGAAGGTCAGTGCTCAGGCAAGCGGAGAGAATTTATACATCTTTGGATGGGTCTATCCTTGGCAACGAGAAATCCTTCCTTTACACTATTGTACTCAAGAACAAGAAGACGGGCAAGGGTATACCGGCTGCCTTTATGGTAATGCCTAGCGAGGCTCAGTAATATTCTCCCCATATCACATCTCCCGATACTAGCAACTGAATCTACTATTAACAGATATGCCATCTATGATTGGCTTAGCTGGCTTAGTTCTGTCTGCAAATTCAAGTGCAAGACATGGATGATTGACTGCTCTGACACTGAAAGTGCGGCAATATCTAACACTATTCCCGATGCAAAGATACTTGCTTGTCTGTGGCATGTGCTTGGGGCTGTTGCCAAACAAGCAAAGGAGAAATTGGTATATTGTCATTGTTTCGCTATCTATAGCTTCAATCACTGAATACTCTCTTAGTCTGCAGGTGCTGGTCAGTCCAAAGCAGCTATTGATGCAAATCAAAAGTTGTGTGCGAAGGCGATGTCAGACTTCAAGGCACTTGTTCGATGTGAGTCAGAGGAATATTTTGATGGTGCATGGGAGGTCTTCCTGGAGCAGTGGAAGGATCACCCTATTTGGGTGAAGTATGTTTCCTCAGAGTGGCTTCCGAAGACGACTCAGTGGTCACAGGCATGGTGTAAGGTAAGAGTTGTTATTTTATTGAAATATATCCATGCTCATTTATTCTATCAGGACATCTCCCGATTCAATATTAATACCAACAACTATATTGAATCATGGCACTTGCTCCTCAAACTTGACTATCTGAGGCTCATGCGTAAGCAACGTGTTGACATCCTTATCTATATCCTTGTCGATGAGGTTGAGTTGGATCTGCGACGGGAGGAGGTCCAGATCACTCTTGGATTTGATGCTTCACGCCTGCAGAAGAGTGAGAAGGCTGCTCATCGACTTGCCTATGCTATTGAGATTGGAGAGCTGGAAGCAATGATTGAGAATTGTGAGGATGGTACTGACAAGGTATCTATATTCTGTGTCTTCATCCCGCTTCTTATCTTACTAACTTGTTCAAGACACCCAATATCATGGTTCAGTTCTTCTCACGTGATGAAGAGACTTGGTATGAGATCCAGGTCCAAGACATCAAGTACGGTGCTGAATATTATGCTGTGATTGTGGCCTGTGACTGTCCAGCCTACAAGCTTCATCAGCTCAAGTGCAAGCACATGTTTCTGGCTGGCCACCTTACGGGTCTATCTCTTGCCTTCAGGGCCTCCTCTCCATCAACACCGCTACCTCTCCAACCACCGCTGGCCACCTCAGTCACCACTGACCAAGTTCTTGCAATCAAAGAAGCTGGATGTAGCCAAATTGTAGAAGAGGAGCGGAAGATCGGAGATCTTGTTGGAAAGCTTAGAAGGGGCTATATGCAATTATGTTGACTTGTTCTGCATTGACACTGAATCCAAATAAGAAACACCACATTATTTACTGCAAAAAAGCTTATCCAATCTAAGTGCTTCGAGAGCAAAGACCACTACGAAAAAGGCACCACACAAACCTTGCATGTACCGGGGATTGAACCTGCAAGCACAACCAAGACACCACACAAACTGGACATCGTAGACCACCAGACCAGAGGAGCTACATTATTTGTTGGAGACAATAAGGTATAATTGACTATCTTGGACGCTTTTTCCCACTGTTTCCGGCCCAGAATATTATTGCTCTTAATTTATATACTACAGATACAGATATGCAATATACACTCATCCACACCCTGAGGAGGCCACAGAGCAGCTTGAACTGGGCCACATGCTCGAGCTGTGGCGGCTGCGTCAACTCGGGCGCTGGCGAATGCTGACGAGTTGATGCGGACGATTAAAGTTTTCCCGGCTCAGTGCATAGCCATAATTGTATGTTGTTTTGTACATAGCTTGTAAAACTGTATTCTGAATCCTATCTGGCTCATTCCTTGTCCAGACTAGTAGAGTCAAAATAATCTACCCCAACGGGATCGTCAAAGTATTTGTCCTGTACGCATATGTTTGTTTAAGTTGGGATACTTTTGATGAATCTCAATCATACTGACAGCTTGATATAGCTCTGGCAAGGTAGTAGCATTGTTTGTGATATTATTTTCACAGTTAGTATCAGCCTCAAGGTATGGACTTGCTATTGTTGGCTTTGACATATCAGAGCTGGGTACCCGATTTTGACTTTGTTGCTGTCATAGTTCTACACGGCACAGAAACATGTATCAAGACAGAGCAACAACTCAACTGCCACATTACTATGAAGGTTGCTCATATTAAGAGTAGAGACCTGCTGTTTGATGACCTTCACGCCGCTGGGAGTCTCATCTTCTTTCTCGTGATGGACAAAACTTATTTTTATCTCTTGATTTTTGTATTGGCTGGCTTGTCTCGATTCTCGGTTGCAGAGGCTAAGAACTTTCCTGTTATTATAGGGTGGCAATCTTGACAAATCTGTACACAAATTATCTCCTGGCCACTCTCAACTCCAGATCAGCAATATTTTGAGCTGAAGATCCCGACACGTTACCGACCATAATCTTCATGTCTGATCCTCTTAACATCATCAACTCAAGCAGCACTACTTAGTCAAACAATCCCGATGCCAGCCGTACACATTCTAGAAGTTCTGAAATGTGAAGTCTCGGACTATGCCTGCCAACAGCAAATGCATAGCACTGAGCCAACTACAAAACACATCGATAGTGATGTGCATCCCTTGATTTCTTATATCTTGCGTATTGGTCAGATTGAATGGGCACTATCATTTATCTTTTTGTCAAGAGGTTGGTGTTATGTCAACATACTAGGATGTAGTTATGTGAGGAGATGAGCATGATTCCCAAGTGGAGGGCCAGCATGGCAGTATGATTCTATGTACCTCATGTTATTTCCATGTAAGGTTGTTCATACTCAACTGGATTTTGATGCTCATTGCTGATTCTTGTCGTTTATATAGCCATGCTTTTGCACGTGTCGGGACACAGTGGGCAATGAATGGGAACGTTCGTGCAAGGTGTACTTGTCGTTGTTTGAGTTGCAAGGTTGTACTTCATTCCTGCGTGATGGTATGGGCAGCTTGATGTGATGCTGACTTTTTTCCCTGTCTTTGTGAGTTGTGTCCGACAGCTGTCGAGGCCGCAAAAGCCGCAAGGATCGGCGCCAATCTGTATGTCAAGGCGAGTCAGTTCATCTCAGGGGTAAGTCAGAATCCTCATAATCTGTACCTTCTGCCCATTTAACAGCCCAAACGGGTCCTCGAGTGACCGCATCATGTATAGGATATGCCACCCTACGTGATTTCGCATCACGGACAACTTGTAGGTGCGGCCACAAAGTAGGCATGGTACCTTCTCGTCCGCTTTCCGCTTTGCTTTTGGGATTACGATGCCTGAGGAACGAAGGTACATCGTTTATACTATCTCTTTCTTTTGCTTCTTTTCTTTGTTAGGTTTGGCGGCAACGCGGGCAACGCAAGGTTCATGCAGACCCCTAACCCTATATTTCAGTCCCATAGACCAGTCCACGGACCTCTTGAGCTTGGACTTCTCTGGCTTAGAACATCTGGTAAATGAAATGACTAAGTGTTTCGGTATTCTTCCGGAACAAATTCAAACTCCGCACACATGAGTACGGAGTTTCGAGTAGTAATGAGAGTGCTTGTAATGTAGGAAGACTATGGGATACTCACAAGGTAGGGACTATACAGTTGTCAGATAGATGTTCATATTCTACAAATGATGATGATTTTAGCTTGGCAGATTGATTTGATTTACTATGTGCACAGCTTAATGTTGGGAAAGGGGTCTAGTTTAGCATATTTGATGATTTATGGGACTAGTGCCATCAATGTTATGGGCACCATATATGACTATGATAGACTTGATTATTCTACAAATTATAGTGATTTTATCGAGACCATGCGATGTCTGTAGCTTGTGTGGCAATAATTTTGTGGTTTGTGGCCCAAGTGGCACTTTTAGACACAACAAGAGATCAAATAGGAATGGAAGCGCCACTGGGCTTAACTATCACATGGATTGTTGCTGTGCAACATGCAAAAGCCGCTTCTAAGAAGCACAATTGCCAATAGAAGCAGAATTAGCATCGGAAGCATGATTGTGCTTCTTTTGCTTCTTCTGGGCTTCTTTTGCAAATTCTGGAGATCCCCAAGGTGAGATGTGTACTGCGATGACATTTCTGCTGTCTATGCTACTCAAACGTCGACAGC